AAATCCACAACCTGTATCAAGGACCCAAGAATTATCATGTGATGATTTTTTAGATTGAATAATGTAAATACCTGCAAAGGAGGTTTTCATCTTCCCATCTTTATGTCCTACAAGTACTTTGGGTAGCTTCGTGTCCAGTGCCCTTTTTCATGGCAGTGAAAGCACTCTGCATCCTTTAGATTAGAGGAATTAGCAGAACCAACTTTGGTCCCACTAGAAGAGGATCCATCAAGAGACTTTCCCTTGCGGCTCTTGGAGGGAGCCTTCCTCTTCTTTCCCTTTCCATGTCTGATTGCCAGAACAGGGGTAGAAGTAGTAGGAGTAGACACAACCGATTTGCCTTTCAGGTTGCTTTCAGCAGTCCGTAAAAGGCCTTGAAGCTTGCTAAGAGTGACCTCCTCCTTGTTCATATGATAAGTCATACAAAACTGATCATAACAAGGAGGTAAAGAGTGTAGAATACTATCTATGGCCAAATCTTCATCAAAATTGACATTCAATTTAAGCACGCGGTCCACGAATCTCTACATCTTTTGCAAGTGGGTCGTGATGGGTTCATCATCCTTCATCTTGGTTGTGATCATGGAGGCAATAATCTCTTACCTCTCCTGTCGAGCACTTTGATGGTATCTTTCCATCAAATCATGATACATTTCATAGGGATAGTAGTCCTCATAGGACTTCTGTAGCTTAATAGTCATGGTTGCAATCATTAGACACAACAACTTTGTCGCATCCCCCTCATGAGTAGTGTGGTCAACGATTTATTCAGGAGTAGCACTGGTAACATCAATCTCCTTTAGCTCTTTATCAAGGACGTATTCTTTGTCCTCATATCGAATAGCCGTTCCGATGTTTCGAATCCAATTATTGAAGTTCGAGCCACCGAAAATAACCTTCCCACATAGGTTTATGAGGGAGAAAGAGCCTGGAGGAATTGGTGTGGAAGCATTGTTTGGGATAGACATCTGAAAACAAGAAGAACAAAGTTTAGACTAGATGATAATCCTTAATATTACACCCAATATGAAATACTAAGGCTAGGACCCAACACAATATTCTACAATTACGAAGAGGGATGCCTTAATCCATTTGTAAAATATTTGAAGGTAGGTAAATGACGATTTACCAATTTCCACCATGAAAACCGAAATACATTATTAAGTTTTAATTGGTTTGAAATTCCTAGATCTTTGAGATTCATTGAACTTTTCAATGGCATGTTTAAATCTCGGTGTGCCCTTCAAGTTTGTAACTTGGATACCGAGGATCACAAACAAGGTGTGAATAACCATGAAAATTAACTTGGTACACCCAATGTTACAAATCACCTAATCAATGTGCTGGTTAACCACACATGCTCCATTGATCTATGATTAAAACCAAGTTACCATTTGCCACACATTATCAGTTCCAGATTAGTGTGCCAATTAACCACACACGCTCCACTAACGACTTAACAAAGGTGCAAAGTGTAATTTCATGGATTAGCACCATATTCACATTTTCCTAAAGTAACTAAGATTGGGAATTTAATAAAATTTTAGTTACTTTACATTTATCATTATACTTTGAATGAGGGAGAATTAATGTCCTATCCTACCCGTTCGGCTAACGATCCTCCACCAGTCAAGGAAGCGGTGGGTGAGAGTGGACACCCATTAAACCACCATTTTATAGGCGGTAACCTAATACCCCCCTTATAGACCGACTTCCTGAATGAGGCCTACTAACGGTAAGACTAACTTGTTCTTATACATACATACATACATATATATATATATATATATATATATATATATATATATATATATATATATTATTAAACTTATAATACTATAAAGTATAAGGCTTGAATTTTAACTTTTAAAACTCTAGGGTTTGGAATTAAAGTTTCATTTAATGAGACTTTGCAAATTCCAAAACTTGAGGGCAAGTTTTGAAACTTGTCAAAACTCTTCACATTCATAACCTATGAGTTTAATTTGATTTTAATGAAGAGACCTTTCATTTTCCATAACTTCAGGACAAGTTATGGAGGCCATTAAACATCATTTAGATCATTTTTTCTAACAACTAAGTTATCACATAATTCATGATCTAACTAAACTCATAATCAAGACAATTTCAAATCAACAATTTTAAAAACAACTTTGTTTATCATATAAAACAACAATTATTTTAAAAACTTTGACAATTATCTTGTGGTTGGATGAGTACAAGCACTACCATATCATAAAAACATTTCTAATGATCCAAAACAGTTTGTGGTAGTGTTCTTAAGCCAAACCAGGCCAAGAAACTCGAAATTCTGCAAATAGGGCCTTCAACTCGTCGAGTGCATGAACTGACTCTCCGAGTTGCCATGTTTATTGAGTGGACTCGTCGAGTCTGTTCATGTACTCAGCGAGTTCACCAGTCAGAGGCAAAAATTTCGATTTTTTCATCTTTGAAAAACTAGTAAGCATCGAATATAATAGAAAACAAACCTCGCTCTAATACCATTGTTGGGTTTTAAGCACTATAACACTCCCATGGTGCACATGCAACCCTAAATGTTTTGGATCTATGTTTTCTCTAATTATACATGCATTTTATTTTTCCAAAACATTCTCCCTATCTAGCATATAATTGAAGCTATATAATATAAAACTTTGGTTTGGATGCTTACCTCTTGAGTGGGGTAGAGTTCTTGACCTTTGAAAGCTTGAGCACCTCAAGTGTGATGCCTCTAATGGTTCAAAAACACCAATATGAAAGAGGAGGATTTGAGAGAAAAAGTTACTTGACTCCAAAGAGTGTGTCTAGTCGATTTTGGCTTATGGGGTCACTATTTATAATGTGGCAAATGCTAGGGTTACACTTTGTAAACCCTAATCCTCCATGACTTTTCACATTCTTATGCTCCATGGGTTAACCTCCATGGACTATCCATTGATTATCTTATTGGTTTAGCCAAACTATATAGTCATGGATCATTAGCCCACATGTCACACCCCCAAATCGTAATGGCGGAAACATTCGGGGGTGGAGGACGTCATGTATAGTATCATAACAACTGCATCATAGTAATAAAAGTAAACACAACCATTACATTGAATAAGTAGAATATTTACATCTGTTTGATTCATATTTATATACATCAAAAGTATAACAACAAGTAAAAGACGTGACTCTATACGCATCATCTTCTCAAAATATGTGGGAGGTACCTGTCTACTGATTTCCTGAGAATACAAGCAGTTTTGAAAGAGTATCAGCATTTAAGCTGGTGAGTTCATACCCCTATACCATTACTGTTTTTAACATTTTCATGGGGGGGGGGGGGATACAAGCCAAACATCATTGATCTTGTGAAATTATACAAAAAGGATTTCAATACACTTAGGACTGATGCAACCATACAGTTTCCATACTTTTATAAAATACTTAGAAAATTTATCCCTTTTGTATTATGCTGAGCATAAGGGAAGTTTTCAACATAATAGTATAGTTTTCAGTGTAAACATGAATTGAATACATTAACGAACATATAAACTATAATACATATAGCTTATGGAACAATTTTCTTATCAATGTACAAACATAGATTTAATGCGGTCAAACATATAAGCTATATAGAGTATAGTTTATGAGACATATACACCACAAGTTAAATTCAAATTATTCATTTTATTCTACACCTAATCATTAGTATAGCATTTTATGAGTGAGCATTCTTCGCGTACTTACTTAAGTACTAACAAAAGTCCTGAGATTATAACCAGAGTCTCCTTGCAGGAGAACGTGAGTTTGTGCATAGATCTATACGGGATTGACAATCCCGCACCATAACTGTTAGATACAGTTAGGCCGACAGGCCTGGGTGACAAAGTCATATCGATTCCGACACCTGAAGAACTTCGTTCAGGCAATTCAATATCTGTCACACCCCCAAACCGTAATGGCGGAAACATTCGGGGGCGGAGGATATCATGTATAGTATCATAACAATTGCATCATAGTAATCAAAGTAAACACAACCATTACATTGAATAAGAAAAATATTTCCATCTGTTTGATTCATATTTATATACATCAAAAGTGTAACAAAAAGTAAAATACGTGACTCTATACGCTCCGTCTTCTTAAAATCTGTGGGAGGTACTTGTCTATTGATTTTCTGAGAATACAAGCAGTTTTGAAAGAGTATCAACATTTAAGTTGGTGAGTTCATAAGCATGTTTTTGTAAGGAAATGTGTTAATGAATCAATGAAAATATTTGTATGTTTCCAAGAAAATACAATATTTTCTAACATGTGTGTTTTTGTTACTGTATCTCATAATGTATTAGTTTATATGCATGATTACCATTAGATGTGTTGTGTATTGTTGTTTTGAATAGGAAATCCTCTTTTTACATGAAAACCCTAGTTATCACTAGTATGTATAGTAAGTTTTGGAAAAACTCTAGAAAAGTCTAGTATGTATAGTAATTCCATTATTTTATAATAAAACTAATTGAAGTCATTACCATTCATACATTAATCGTATAATATTATTACCAAATTTATGAGTTGTTATAACCATACTTGACCATTGAATTGCCTGAATGACGTTCTTCAGGTGTCGGAATCGAAATGACTTTGTCACACAGGCCTACCGACCTAACTATAGCTAACAATTATGGTGCGCGATTGTCAATCCCATATAGATCTATACACAAACTCACGTTCTCCCGCAAGGAGACTCTGGTTATAATCTCAGGACTTTTGTTAGTACTTAAGTAAGTACGCGAAGAATGCTCACTCATAAAATGCTATACTAAGGGGTTGTTTGGTAGCCTTTTAATTGACAAATTAAGAGGCAACCTATTAATTATTCAGATTAAGAGTGTTTGGTAGGCTATGAATTAAAGCCTCTTAAACTTTCAGAAGCCTCTTAAAGTTTCAGACTTGGGCTTGTATCTGAAAAATAAAAAGCACGTGTCCTTCTCTCTTTTACCCTCAACGTTGCAGATATGCCCGCCTCCAAAACAACACACCCCCTTCAGATCATCTCTTCCGTCTCCGACTCTCCTCTTACCTCTGACCATGTCGAGCGCCAATCACCGCCTCCGTCGTCGACCTCCCTGAAATCGACTCCCACTACGACTTCCAACGCTTGGCTCCAACAGGATTTCTCCTTCTCCTTCATCCCACCTCTTCTCTTACCTCTCTGCCTCAGGTCCCTATGGTCATGGTGGTTTGAGTTCTGTTCCTCTTCGGAAATCTTCAAGTTCCGGTATTAGTTCAAGATCGAATCCTCATGGTAAACGCCTGATGTAGAGTTATGATTGATTTGTTTTTGAATTCTAGGAGGTAGGCTCCGACAAGATTGCTCCTTCTCCTTCATCCCACCTCTTCTCTTACCTCTCTTATCTACAGTCGTCTGCACCCTCCCTCCGGAATTGACTTCGCCCCCAGAAGCTGCGCCGCCTCCGCCAGCTTCCGCTAGCACCGCAACAACGACAACCTCCTGTTGCAGGTAAATTTTTTCCTGGCTTGTTCTCTTTTCCCCTGAAAACCGATTCTTAGAAATACATGGATTTTTTTTGCCCTAAAACTCGATTATCAGTCCTTGATTTTGATTTTCTTTGTATTTCATGCCCGATCCTGTACTGGATCTTCATATAATACATGTATTTGTTTCTAGATTTGTGTCTTAAATTGTCTGTATTGAGGTTCTAATTAATAGTATCAAGGATCTACAAAATATGAACATTGATTGAAATCTTAATATAGAAGATGATAAAACAACCAATTGTTTGGTGAATCTGAAATAGACCACAAAGATATATATGTTTGGTGAATGAAACTGTATATTTGACCTCTGAACTTTGAAAAATCGAGTTTGAAAAATATGTTGATACATAATTGATGGTGCATCATTGTCTAGCAATTATGCATGAACTGTGTGTGAATTGAAAGTAGTTTATACAATTGGAGTTTTTGACAATTTATTCGATTTTAGCAACATACTTTGAAAAGTTGTGATGGATTTGGTATGCCATTTCTATATATATATTTAAAGTGATTTTTGGAATAGATTGAATTTCAACCCAAACCTACAAATGTAAAGATCATTCATTCAACTTTAAGTTAATGATTATATAATTTGCTATTGAGCTTATTTGTTTCCTTGTTGAATTTAGATTTTACAGATTGAAATGTTTGAAAGAAAATTTTGAGAGGCTATCGTGTTTGATGTAATGATGGAGAAGGAAAGGAGTACAAATCAATCATCAATAGTTCAGTTGCAAGTTCGTTGTCATTTATGTTTCAGCATTCAATGTCAAATATGTTATTTTTTAACTTTGAAATCCTTGGGATATAAACAATGATGTTATTTTTGTAAATATATGTCAAAAAATCATTATAAATTGTTGAAGATAAATTTTGATTTATGTTAATTTTGATTTTTTATGTTTTTATAATTATTTAGTAAAAATTAAGACAAAAGGGTAAAATGGTCATTTTTATAATTCAGCACAATAATTCAGAGGTTCCAACCAAACAACATGATAAAATTCAGATCTTAAAAATTCAGACCCTCTTAGAAATTCAGACCTCTTAAAAATTCAGATCTTAAAAATTCAGATCCTGCCAAACAGCCCCGAACGATTAGGTGTAGAATAAAATGAATCCTTTGAATTTAACTTGTGGTGTATATATCTCATAAACTATGCTCTATATAGCTTATATGTTTGATCGCATTGAATCTATGTTTGTACATTGATAAGGAAATTGTTCCATAAACTATACCTATTATAGTTTATATGTTCGTTAATGTATTCAATTCATGTTTACACTGAAAACTCTATGATTATGTTGAAAACTTCCCTTATGCTCATCATAATACAAAAGGGATAAAATTTCTTAGTATTTTATAAAAGTATGGAAACTGTATAGTTGTATCAGTCCTAAGTGTATTGAAATCCTTTTTGTATAATTTCACAAGATCAATGATGTTTGGCTTGTATTCCCCATGAAAACGTTAAAAACAGTAAAGGTATATGGGTATGAACTCACCTGATTGTGAGTGACTTGGATGAATGACAAAGATATGATGCTTGGTACACTAAGTGAAATCCCGAGCACAGTATGGTCCTATTAAGCACATATTAACATGTATAGGCCTACAACTAGTGTCTAAAACCACTAACAAGCATGGGAAACACCCTTTGGATGTAGGAAGCACTTACAATGAAGTGTTATCAAGAATGAGGGACAAAAAGGAGTTTACGGCCCAAGATGTGTTCACGGCCCATGAGCACATGAAGGGTTTGTGGCCCATCTATGAAGGGTTCACGGCCGTGAACACTTGAAGATCATAAAGATGGTGATGAAAGTGATGAATCAATGGATGAATATGAAGCACTTTACATGAATAAGATGAATAAAAGTGAAAATGGGTGAATTACTTACGTTTGTGGGGGTGGAAAGAGAGCTTTTGTTGGATGAGTCTTGAGAGAATCTTGAGGAGTCTTCGGCAAAGGTGGGAGGAAATGGGGAAATATGAAGGAAATATATATATATATATATATATATATATATATATATATATATATATATATATATATATATATATATATATATATATATATATATATATATATATATATGGAGAGGGGTTCACGGCCCAACATGGGTTCACGACCGTGAACCTAGTTTGCGGCCGTGAACACCCTTTGAAGAGTTTTCTGGTTCGATTGTATTCTTCTAATCCCAAGCTAACACTTCTCAACATCCAACTCTTAAGTGTACTAGGCTTAGAGACTCTCAAACTAACCCTAAACACAGTAAAGCGATAGCAGAAACGAGTCTAACTTTTATTGATTTGAACTGACTTACAGATAGAGATTTCGGGTTATCACATCATCCCTCCGATAGAGGGAATTTCGTCCCGAAATTCGAACATAGGATACAATCATGGACTCGGGAAAAGATGCGGGTACCTCTGTTTCATTTGATCTTCGCACTCCCAAGTGAATTCAGGTCCCCGTTTGGCATTCCAACGGACCTTTACTATCAGTGTGCGACTTTGTTTCATTCGTTTGACTTCCCGATCCAAGATTTCGACTAGTTCTTCCACGAAATTAAGGTTCTCGTTGATCTCGATCTCATCGAGAGGGGTCACTGAGGTTTCGTCGGATAGACGCTTTTTAAGTTTCAAAACGTGGAAGACGGGATGAATATTTTTAAGCTCTTTGGTAAACGAAGTATGTATGCTACGGGACCGATCCTAGCGAGGATTTTGAATGGTCCTATGTATCTCGGATTCAACTTTCCACGCCTCCCAAAGCATATCATGCCCTTCCAAGGTGAGACCTTCAACATAACACGGTCACCAACCTGGAACTCCAAGGGTTTTCGTCGTCTGTCAGCGTAGCTCTTTTGTCTAACCCTGGAGGCTTTTAGTCATTCCCTGATTTGTACGATCTTTTCAGTGGTTTCGCGAATGATTTCTGGGCCTGTGAGAGTGCAATCAGGGACTTGACTTTTAGCTAGCTGTGTGTCACCCACCTCAGCCTAGCACAGAGGGGATCTGCACTTACGGCCATAGAGGGCTTCAAACGGCGCAACCTTGATGCTAGTATGATAGCTGTTGTTGTAGGAGAACTCAACCAAGGGCAAATGGGTGTCCCATGACTTGCCAAAATGTATGACACATGCTCTCAACATGTATTCCAATGTTTGAATGGTCCTCTCACTCTGCCCATCGGACTGTTGATGGTAAGCTGTGCTCATATCCAGCTTAGTTCCAAGAGCCTTCTGTAGTGACTGCCAAAATCTCAAGGTAAATCTGCTATCCCGATTGGAGATAATGGACACATGCACACCATGCAGACGAACTATCTCTTGAATGTAGATTCGTGTCAGTCTCTCCATCTTGAAGGTTTCTTTGATTAGCCGGAAGTGGGCGGATTTAGTCAATCGATCGAAAACTAACCAGATGGTATCGTGCCCACTCGGAGATTTGGGAAACTTAGTGATAAATCCATCGTAATCCTTTTCCACTTCCACTCAGGTATTGCTGGCTGCTGAAGTAGACCTGAGGGCTTTTGATATGCCACCTTCACCTTGGCGCAAGTCAGGCACTTGCCCATAAAGGAAGCGATATCTGCTTTCATGTTTGGCAACCAATAGAGATTTTTGAGATCCAGGTACATCTTCTCCGAACCTGGATGAATGGAGTATCTAGTCTTGTGAGCTTCATTCATGACAACCTCCTTGTACCCGCCGAACTTTGGGGTCCAGATCCGATTCATGAAATAGTAGACTCCATCTCCTTTGATCTCCAAGTTCTTTTCCATTCCCCTCAACGCTTCATCCAACATGTTCTTGTTGGATTAGTGTCTAAGTCCATAACTATATTTGGTATGTACTTGTCTCGACTCAGCATGGTCCATTTGGGTTGCATGGCATCGGAAGATTTGGATAGGCCATTTGTGAGGAGAGGACATTTGTGACATATTATTATATTATAAGTTCTAATATATTAATATGAAATCATGTTATTTAGTTAGTATTGATCAAGAATTAATATGGACTTAATTTAGTGATCAAAAGAGACTAATTAAATATATGGGGATTGATTGTGTAAATCATACATTCTTATATATGTGGGCTTATGATCTATGATTCCTTATGTTGGGTTTAACCCATGTGGTGATCCATGGATATTCCATGGAGGTTAAAACACATGGAGCATAAAGAGTGGGTAAAGTCATGAGTTACATGGTGTAACCCTAATAGCCACACTATATAAAGACCCCATTGGTTGGTGAAATTGGCACTAGTGCATACACAAGAGGGCAAGCCAATTTCTATGAGTCAAGTATCCTCTCTCATGGTTATTCCAAGATGTTCTTGGTGTTGTGTGATACATTTGAGGTGTCACACTTGGGGCACTAGGCTCTTAAGCTCCATGGAATCAAGCTACAATAAAGAGGTTAGTATTCTATCTAGTTTTGTCATTCTAGTACATATGATTGTATGCTAGTTAGGGTAATACCTTGGAATATTCATATTTTCATGTATAATAGAGAAAACATAGATCCAAGGTATTTAGGGTTGCATGTACACTTAGGAGTGTTAGAATGCTCAAAATCCAATAGTGGTATCAGAGCCTAGGCTTGTTTTCTTGTTATACTTGCTAAAATTGCTGAAAAAACGAAGTTTTTTGCTGTCTGAACAGCAGAATCGTCGAGTCCATAAAGGGACTCGACGAGTTGGACCCCCAGACAACATATCTTCGACTGTTTTGGCTGGAATTGGACTAGGAACATTACCCTAAGCTGTTTTTGGACTTGTAAACCTGTTTTTGATGTGGTAATGTTCATGCTAATCCAATTTCAAAGATAATTATAAATAGACTCATGTTTTGTATTAGTTTAATGGTTGGGCTAATTACATGAAAAAGTTCGATTTGAATTATCTTGTTCTTATGAGTTGCTTAGATTATTAGAAAAATTATGTGATAATGTGT